CTTTCAAAGATGATTCTTCTTTGGTCACTGCAGGGAAATTAGCTTCTGGGACAGAGCGGTAAGGACTGCTGAAGTCTGCAGACTGCATACAAGAAGCTGTTCTTAGTTTTAGCGGGTGGGTTTAATGATTCTAGTTGAGAGTTTTGGTTAAGTGGCGAACGTGGGAGGGTAGTAGTGAATAGTTGCCACTGAAGAACCATAACCATCATGTAAAATCTCAGAGGCTGAAGTCAGTGTTGAAATTAAGGCTATGGCTGGTATACTTTGATGTAAGAAGAAATACCCAAAAAAAGGTCCTTAAAAAATGTCATTGAGAATGATACCAGTACACCATACTGAATAATATATAGACTGTATTTAATATCGTGTGATGTCAGGAATTGCTATTGCATATTTTTGTGCAATTAGACTTTTTGTGATAGGTTGGTTCTTTCTAATTGAAATGAGGTCACTGTTAATTACTGTGTTTAAAAAATGTCTAATTTTTACATATCAAGGATTATCAGGAGAAATTTAACTCGTGGATTTTCTTGATTGTGTACTATTTGTATTTTATGTACTGGGAATAACATTAAATCATTGAAAGTGTCAAAATGCTGGTTTTCTCAAGTGGACTGGCAGTGTCCTGGTCTGTACCTTCAAGAATTTTTTTTTAAAAGACCAGTATTAATTGAGTATATATCCACACAGAAATTAAATAGAAGAATACAATGATTTTCTTATCTGTTCATTTAGAGACTCCATCTCACATTTACTGAGCCCATGCCATGTTCTGTGTGAGGTACTGAGGATGTAGAGGTGAATTAGACTCAATCTGTCCTCCTAGGAATTTGCAACCTGGGAGTTTATAGTAATAAAAATACTTTATTAAACAATTGACCCTGAATTTCTGAAGTTTTAATTTTGGGGTAGGCATGTTTAAATCTTTTTAAAATTGAATACATCTTTATCAGCACTAACCTTGATGGCCATTGAGAAGTTCGACTTCTCACATCAGTGAGTGGCCCTTGGAAAGTGTATTTAAATGATAAGACTCACAGGCTCTCTCTGACCATGAGATATTCAGTTGGTCATTTTTTCCACCATGTTTCATCCTGGAAATGTAATTCTAAATTACTTCAAGTTAAAAAATTCCTGTGCTCATTTTTAAAAATTTCCTGTCTTGTCCCATTTGGCAAGTCCCCAAAAGGCAGTAAGAATATAAAGGTTTATTTCACTTTTCTGATGAAGCAGGAAAGCTCCCATTCAGAGGTCTAGCTGGTGAGGTCTAATGATGCTTCATCCAGAATGACTGAAAGGCCGGAAGTGAGACTCAGCCACACGGGCAGCAAGCGTACCATGTGCTCTATACCACTGTCAGGGCAAGTGGCGGTCTGCAAATTGAGCCCTGCATAGCACTTGATATTTCCAATGTGTGTATGTATCTGTGTGGATTTTTGTGTGTCCAATTACCTGGAGATCGTCGTTCTAAGTGAAGTAAGTCAGAAAGAGAAGGAAAAATACCATATGATATCACTTACATATATTTACAAAACAGAAACAGACTCACAGACATAGAAAACAAACTTATGGTTACCAGGGGGTAAAGGGATGGGAAAGGATAAATTGGGAGTTCGAGATCTGCAGATACTAACTACTATATACAAAATAGATAAACAACAATTTTCTACTATATAGCACAGGGAACTATATGCAATACCTTGTAGTAACATATAATGAAAAAGAGTATGAGGGGAGAGGGTATAGCTCAGTGATAGAGCACATACCTAGCCTGCACGAGGTCCTGTGTTCACTCCCCAGTACCCCCAGTAAAAAAAATTAATAAATAAGCCTAATCCCCCCCAAAGAAATAATATATGTAAGAATATGAAAAAAAAGTATGTGTATGTATGACTGAAGCATTATGCTGTACACCAAAAATTGACACAACATTGCTAAGTGACTATACTTCAATTAAAATTAAAAAAAAGAAGGGGGAAAAAAAAAGAACACTTGCACAGCAAAAATACCTTCAACGTGCAAAATAAAAACTTAGAAAGATACCAAAAGTGATACTGGGGAAATTCAGTTTCCCCGCCCCCCCCCCAACTCCCCAGTACCCCTCCCCAGAGGCAACAACTGTTACTATCTTTCTAGAGATACTCTGCCAGGGCACTGCTGCCAATCTATTCTTTTTCCTTCCAAAGCCCAGCACTTTATTTCAGACAGTTGTATATTTTAAAGTATCCAAATATGAAAAGCAAGCAACAGTAGTATGTATGGTATGTTTCCATTTTTGTAAATGAGTAACACAGGAGAAGAAAGGTGCTGTGCACTGATGGACAGTGTGGGTGGTTTAACCCGGGTGGGGCCGTGTCAGGTGTGGGACTGGGGTGGGGCAGGTTAGGAGCCAACACTGTATGAGGTGAACTTTTAAAAACAGGAGCGTATAATCCTTTTGTAGTAAAGATACAGTTTTAATGTAGAGACAAATTCTTAAAGAGGTCTCCTGAGTGCATTTGTAGGTATGTGTGCCAGGAGCTGGCGTTTCTCTAGCCTTCAAGTGTAGCTGGTTATCCTCCTAAGGCTTTAGTGAGTTGTCGTCTGTCCTTACTTTGAAATAAAGATACCAAGTTAAAAATAAATTCTTAGAGGAGTGTAGTTTTTATTCGGGCCAAGGAGTCTTGACAAATAAGTCAGCCCAAAGATGGGGTTAGAGGGTCGGGGTGGCAGACACATTTAAATCATATGCATTTTACCTCCAGTCCCTAACTAGTTGAAGTGCCTTGTTTCCAACTTTTAAAAAATGGCATGAAATAGATACAATGGCTTAGAAAGTACTGAGCATGGTGCATTTCTCAAAAGTAACTTAATATACTGTTACTGGTGGAAATCTAGAACTTAGTACTCATTTAATTCTATTTCCCTGAGTGTATCTTCCAGTAAAAGTCAGTTATATACCAGGATGTTTGGGCCAGTAAATTTTATTTCTAACATTATTCATAAATATGAGAAACATGAAAGGAATCTCAGGGTCCATAATAGAGGAACGGTTAGCTAAATACTTAGGCGGGAAGCTCGAGCTCAGATGGTTTATGGAAGGACTGTTACCCATCAGTAAATAAGGGTTTTGAGGCTTAGTTGATAACATGAGAATGACATAAATACTCCTGCCTTAGTTTGTCAAAAATGTGTGTATATGTTTATTTGAGGGTAATACTTTTCAAGATTTTCAAGGTTTTTACAACAAATATGTACTAACTCATTTAGAATTATGAAAATACTTTATATAATCTTCATAAAACTGGTAAAGAAAACAGCTATTATGTTTGGATTTGTCTTCTTTTTAAGATATTGGTAGGAACAGTTTTCTTTTTAAATGATTTCCTTCCCTCTCAGAGGTACTTAGAAGAATTCTTGGATTTTAAATATTGCCAAAAAGAATTTTTTTTTGAATTCTGTTTTTGTATCATACCTATTTTATTCTTTAAAATATCTGAGGATGAGCATGGATAGGCAGTCACGTTTTCCTTTGGTCCGATGGAATTACACCCGCTTCACTGCTCAGAGAATAGCATTTATTATGGGGCTTTATCAGTCTCACTGCGACCACCTTCGGTCACGTGTGTCAGTCTTTTCTCTCATGGGAGCACCTTTCAGTGCTTTCGTAAGTCAGTTTCCTGCCTTTTTGGTTTTGTTTTGTTTTTGTTGTTTCCCAGAGTTATTTTCTACTTTAAGGCAAAATAGTTTAGCATTTTAAAATTCTATTAGCTTTCCAACCAAGTCATTCAAAAGCCACAGGGAGGCTTATGGATCTTTGATAAGGTGTTGTGTGATGTATACGTGTGTTTAGTATTAATGACCCTAAGTTTAAATGTTCATTATATGCTCACTGTGGATTAATTATGTTATAAGTCAGGGACAAGTGGCATTTGTGTATGTCTGCTCTGTGAATGTGAATCAATAAAATATATGAATACACATCCTGGTGGTAATGTAAAATACAAGCCTCGTGTGTGTGTGTGTGTGTGTGTGTGTGTGGTAATAATTCAGTGTGCTTGAAGTTCAAAGTCAGGCAGAGGCAGTGGAGTAAGTTGCAAAATAGCCCTTTCCTTGAAGCAAATGTGCTTTAGTACAAAACAGACCTCTTAATGTTAGTTTTACATTTCTACCTGATGGAATCTAAGGTTATGGAAACGACTTGAAAAAATAATTTGTCTGAAAGATGCCTGGATGCAGAAATCTAATAGAAAAATATTTGAGAATAGGGCACATCGACAAGTGCAACAGATACACGTCCCTAAGCACCACGTGGCAGGGATCAAAGCATCCCATGACTTGGCTCTGAGTGTCCAGATCATTACCTATTGATTGGAACCCCCACTGGAGGATTAACCCCTTCATGGTCATGCTAAGTTTTCTTTCACTTTTGGTGTCAGTAATTTTAGGGATAGAATCTTCCTGCCACTATTAATTTTTAAGTGAATCATCTACTTGGATATGTTTGTCTTTCTGAATTATTTTCCTCTCAATAATTTAATGGCACTGTTCTTTGCTTGATAAAATTAACTTGTGAAACGATTGTACAATTATGGGAACACTGTTTGTGGTGGAAGGCAGGAGAAAAAAATGTGTAATATTCCAGGTAGAGAAGAGCAAGAGAATCTTAAAATCAAGTACCGATTTAATAATTTTCATTATGTAGATTAAATGATAAGTCTAGCCTTTGAAAGACTCCGTTGCAGTCTGAGAGCTTGGCCTCAAACAAAAGCCTGTCAAGCATTTTTCATACATGGTGGTACATTTCTAAGATTGGACTGTTCACGTGGTGAAGTTTCACTCTTGCTTGTAAGTAAATGACAGCGCAGAAGTCAGTAGTAAATTCCACAGGAAGAGGAAAGCGCGGCTTGGTTCACGTCCACGTTTGGCCACGTGAGCGGGCTCCTCTTGCCTTTCTGTGTCTGGTGGGATGATTCCAGGTGGCAAATTCATTCTCTTGTCCCCCGTGTATTTCCTTTCAGTTTGTCCCACGAGGAGCATCCCCATAGCCATCCTCTCTATGGACACGGCGTTTGCAAGTGGCCAGGCTGTGAAGCAGTGTGCGAAGATTTCCAATCATTTCTAAAGTAAGAATGATTTTATGTTGCTTTCTTCTTTTACGTAGCCATCACCTCCCACTGTTCATACTTTTCCTCATGAAATGCCTTTTTGATGGAGGGTTTCACACCACCATTTTGAAAGCAGACTCTAAATCACCAGGTCTAGCGCAAAGTCATAGGAATAATTACAAAATCTATCGAGGGTAGCATTGTAAAGCAGAAAAGATTTACACTTAAGGGCAGTTTTGCTACTCCTAGTAACAGCCTGTGTTTACTAATTTTTTCAGAATGACAGTGTATTAAGTAAAAATTCTCCCCATACTAAGCCGAGGAAATGTTACCAGCTGGATTCTTCTCTTTCTGTATTGGTGTTGACTTTTGTTCAGATTCTTGTCCTTATAGGGAGAACAGAGTATGTTTAATTCCTGTAGTTAAAGTATGACTAAAACTTGGGTTATCCCATTTGAATCTGTACCACTGATAAAGTATCGCTGTGAGTAAATGGTACGTGAATCCTCTCACAGCTGAAGGGAAACGCGTCTGCCCTGCGTCTTAATATTTCCCTTACCTATAGAGCCTTGTCCTTTAAAAATACTGAGTCTAAACTGCCCTGCATTATTGACATCACATAAATATATTCATAATATCATTGAATCATTGATGTATGAACTGAATATAATACTACATTATATTTAATATATTTATATATCATGCAACAAGCAAACATGCACATATAAAACTCCTGTATGTGTAAGTGCATGATGGTTTGCAAATTGGGTGTTGGGGGTGGCGGTGTTTCCCTCTGGCTTTTCTGTCTCATTCAAGCCCCAGGAAATAGAGAGTAGAGGCAGACTGATTTACATGCAGGCCTCTGATTTTGTGTGGTCTTCATATTATTAGAATAATCTCTATATCTAGCTTTATGGACCTAGATACAAATATTTTAATAAAGCCACCCATAGAGATATCTCTCGTGTTACCTGCAAGTGGTTTGGTGAATATCATTTTTTGATTAATGAATAGAAGCCTGTGAATCTCATTTCATAGCCTCCCAGCTTTAATATTTTATTTCGAGAGCATTATTCTGTGGTCATTAAAATCTTAAGTACTCAAAAAAATTTTTAAACAGATATTTAAAATCGTTTCTAAATATTAGTACTCAAGAGCATTGATACTTTATTTTAAATTAAGCAACAGCCCTTTAGAATTATGATGATTCAAGTTAGTGCTACAGGGCTTTGTTCTCTTAGAAATCACTTATTGCAGAATCCTTGTTTTGTTATTTCCTGATCATTTGCCTAATTGTATTTAGATAGCGAAAGAAAAAGATCCTGGCAGGAACCACTTTTGAATTCCTATCGCACCTTCTGCACCCAGTGCCAGCTTTGATGAATATCTTGCTGTTCCTTTCACACTTCTATAGAATGGCCAGTAAACATCTATAAATCTGATTTATTTTATAAAATCTCTAGAACTATAAAATTGCTATCAGCATTTGGTGACATGTATCAATTTTAGAGTCACAAGGGAAAAGGGCAGTTTTCCAACTGACCACTTAAAAATTTTAGCTAATAGATAAAGTATTTTCACCCTAATCCTCAAATCTTAGGTTCATTTATTACGTGAGTGCACAGTTAGGTGTGTATATGTATATTGGGAGGGAGGGGCAAATATACCTCCACAAAGAGATTTTCAGACCACATCAAGTTCTAAAGAAAAGAGTCTGAAGATGGTTAGAATAGGAGCCTAGACTTTGTTCCTATGAAAAAGCCCTTTTCTTGTCTAAGGATATTAAGAGCCTGGCTCTTGTAGAGAAAACCACCTATTTAGTTTTCACTTTTATTCACGTCCCTCTCTTATTTATCGTGGTTTTGCACGTGACGTGATGGGTTGCTCAGTGGAATTGGAATGCCCATGGTGCTCCTGCAGCTGTTGCTTATTTCCTTGTATTTATTGATTGGTGTATTTTTGTCAGGAGACTTCTGTTTGCAGACTACAGATATCCCACTTCAACTGGCTTAAGCAGGGAAAAAAAAAAAGAGGGGATCTGAGGCATGAAAACTCCCATAATTAGGAAGTCCAGTGGTATAGCTCACTGGACTGAACCCTGATGCTTGAATGAGGTTATTGGAGTACTGGTTCATTGTCCCTTAGGTCTGTTTTAGCCTGTTTTGCCTTCACTCTCAGGCTGTCTTCAGGTGGAACTGAAGAAGGCAGATTTACACACCACAAGTTTAGGATCCCAGGGTGCATCTCCTCTCCAGTAGTTCCAGGAAGGTGTCCTGAGCAGACCGTCATCGGCCCAGATTGAGTCGTGTGTTCTGGCTTTGAGCCAATTGCAAGGAGGTAGTCAGGCTCGTGTCACATGCCCACCTTCAGAGCAAAAGGGAGATGTTCACCCCACAGGAGCCACGTGGAGGCTGGGGATGAGAGCCTTGGTTCCCACGAGTCAAAAATGAGTAGTGGAAACCAGCAAAGGGAGAGTTAAGTGTTGAATGAGGAAAAACCCACTGGAAGTCAGAGTTCTCTTGAAACTTTTCTGAGTTTACACATTGATTGGCCATATATGACAAATTCAGGATTTTGATTTTCCTCTACAGCATGATTTTAGCTCTTGGAAAAATTTTTTTTTCTTGGAAATTTAGAGTTGTCTTCAGGGTTCAAGATCTTGCCTAGAGCAGTGGAAAGTAAATGAGTCTTCTTGTGAATTCACATCTCCCACATCTCTGCTCAGTCTAAAGGTAATCACGTCGACTTTAGTGAAAGCAGCTTTACTTTCCAATGAACTGAACTGAAAGAGCTACCATACTTCTTGTGGTTCGAGCAAAAACCATGTGGCCTCTTTGAGTGACATCAGTGGAGTCACTGTTATCGGGAAGTGATGTTTCAAGCATTTCTTCTCAAACTGCCAGATTTGTAGACTCTGAAAACCCCTCATTCCTGGGCCCAGCCTTCTCCCCCATTCTCCTACTTTTGAGGGGCTCCCTAACGGTTTTAGCAAGTTGGTTCCAGTGGTGCTTAGCTTCTCCAAGGTGGTCTTACTCAGTAAAAGCAGTATTACCTTGACTTTGATTTAGATACTGCTTTATATATATATTTTCATCTATCTTCTAAGTTTCCTAATTTTACACTCCCCTAGTAAGAGTTTTTAACTAAATAGCCCTGAACTGTGCAACAGGCACCGTGCTTGACATATTCCAACTCCGTATTACAATTCTAAGTGCTTTTTTATATATAATACATTTAGCACAACCACCTTATAGTGGTAATACTGTAGTATTACTCTCGACCTACAGATAAAGAAACTAAGGCCCAGTGAAGGTAAGTAATTTTCCCAAGATCACACAGCTAGTAAGAGGTGGAGTCCAAATCCAAACCTAGACAAGTCTGGCTTCACAGGACTTGTTCTTAGTTGTTCTATGATAAATACCACCTGGTTGGAAGCAGTTCATTTTATTAACCATATGCTTTCTGCTTAAGGCAGTAGGTGCAAAGAAAGCTTTGAAGAAAGGCAGAATGGGCAGTGAAGCCACTTGCTACGAGGGTGCTCTCTGAGCTCAGTATCAGCACATGTGATTTGGGTTGGTAATGATAACCAGCTCTTAGGGTTGTGAAAATTAAAAGGTGTATTGTGTCAAGTGTCAGGCCCATAGCAAGTACCCTTAAAAAATATTAGTACTTCTTATCTACCTAAGTATATTTTTAAAAGAGAAATTATTGAAACTCTCCAAACATCTTTGACCTTGTCCCTAGAGGCTGTGGTGATGTAAATCTTTGATGTGTCACAAGATACCGTTCTTTGATACAGTTTTTAACCATTAGTTTCCAGACAAAAGTCCCACAGAGTCGAACGTGATCCTAGGGCAGGGGTGGCCAGCTTTTCCTCTAAAGGATCAGCTGGTAAATATGGTGGGCTTTGCAGGCTCTGCCTGAGACAGACGCTTAGCTCTGCCTTTGTAGCACAGAAGCAGCCATAGGGTGCCGTGTAGGGGTTGGGCGTGGCTGTGTTCCTTGGACCAGTGTGCTGACCTCTGACCCAGTGTGAAGTTTTTGGGTGTCACCAGGTTTTTAGCTGAGCCACAGTCTGGCACCCCCCTGGGCACGGCTCTCCTGGGTCAGTTACATCTGGATTCACAGAGCCCTCCTTTTTCTTCACATTTTAGACAGCCACTTGACTCAGCTGCCTCGGCTTTTGTGCTTACGTGGCCCTGGGTTCTGCCACCTGGTTTTTAGGGTTCAGTTTGAATGAGAACGCGACTTGGCTTGGTAACTGTTTTCCAATCTTCTGTTGCTCAGACTGGTAAGAGAGAACTTTTAGAGAGGCCAAGATCAGTTATTCAGTATGAAAAATCCCATCTGACAATAAAATGCCACTGTTAACAGAGAGACAGGTTATGAGAAGGGAGGGGAGACTCACAGGTCTGAAAACGTGGCCTGTTTTTTTTTTTCCTTCCTGAGGAAGAAATACCATAACTGTTGGTAAATCAAAACCAGAGGTTTGACACTCATCTGTGATCATTCTGCAGTGTTTGTTCCCAAGGTGAGGTATACCACAGGGCCCTTGATTTCAAAGATAAATACTGTACAAATAACCATCCTGTTGTCTTTCCCTCCCAGCCAGCGGAGGGGCGCTTTATCAGAACCAGCAGATACCCAGTCTTTTGTGTGCATTTATTTCCCTGTTTCTTCTCAAAACAAGTTGCAGTTTGAGTGTTGTTTTTTGTTGTGTTTTGTTTTGTTTTAATCTATCAACCATGAGTTATCATGTGACTGTTGTGTTTGTTGGAGCACACTGATGCCAGCAGGTACTCAGGCGAACTCTAATGAAATCCGCCAGCCCTGCATTGCTTGGAATCCTCTGATAACAGAAAAACAAAAACAAGCCCAGTACCATCCAGAGAGGTGAAACTGGGGCAGTTCTCCCATCCTTTTCCCGGCAGGATCAGGCTTTTTCTTTTTAAACGAGGTTGAAGACCCAGTCTTCACCGATAAAAATACGGATCTGTATTTCTTCCCCTTTTCTTTTT